TTCTTTTGCTTTGGTAATGCCTTACTGTGAGCGAGTATGTCGTCGAGAAGCCGCTGGTGCTGTAGGCGCAGAAGATCCTGGTGCAGAAGATGCTATGGAATCCTGCACAGACGATCCCAACTCCGGATCCAAGGGAGATTCACGCACAGGACTTGCAGAGAGGCCCGGCCCGTGATCCGAGGGCGATTCACGCGCAGACCCCGCAGGCACACCGCAGTCAGCGACGGTTGGCTCGATCCGCGGGCTCCCGGCTCGTGAGGCGCCGCGTGGAGACGTGGTTTCGCCCGCGCGTGGGCTGGCGCGTGGAGTGGTGGGTTCCACCGGGTGGAGGCTGTCGGCCACAGCCGCGTTAGACCGAGGCGGGCCCGCGCTGGCGTGCGCCTGATTGGCTGCATGCCGATCTGCATCGGATCGCGCGACGACAGGGACAGTGCTGACGCGCGGATCAGCACCAGATCGCGCGCCGCTGCCACCAGGTGAATCAGCTTCGTTTTCTGCACCATCTTTGTCCTGTTCTGCACACATAAAATGAGGCCCCAATCTTGCACAAGCATCATCAGAACCATTTGTATCAACAGAATTTTGCACATTGTTAGTTTTATTTAATTCACCCCCGTGATATAGGAGCAGTGTTATCTCAGTACGAAGAAGGGCTCCGGCATTTGGATGAAGTTTAGCAAACGAAAAGAGAGTTTCATCAAAAATGACATCTCGAGAAATATAAATCCATCCAGTTGCAACTTCTAGGCATTTGTATCCTTTATGAAGATTGCTATAGCCAATAAAGACACATTGAGTAGAACGAAGCTCAAGTTTATGACGATTATAAGGACGGAGATTAGGATAGCAAGCACAACCAAATTTTTTGAGAGAGTTGTAATCGGGTTTTTGACGATATAACCGCTCCAATGGAGTGATGTTGCAAATAACTTTACTAGGGAGACGATTTATGAGATATGTGGCAGTAATGAATACTTCATCCCAGTACTTGAGAGGCATAGATGCATGGGCAAGGAGAGATAAACCAACTTCAACAATGTGGCGATGTTTCCGCTCAGCAGAGCCGTTTTGTTGGTGAGCATGAGGACAAGACACATGATGTTCAATGCCTATGCTACGGAAGAAAGAGTTGAGTTTTTCATACTCCCCTCCCCAGTCACTTTGGACTGTTAAGATTTTTTTGTCAAAGTGTCGTTCAACAAGTTTTTGAAACTCTTGAAACACAGAGAAAACTTCAGATTTGTGTTTAAGTAAATAAATCCAGGTAAACTTGCCAAAGTCATCAATGAAACTAACATAGTATTTCTTTCTGCCAAAGGAGTCTCTTGCATGACCCCATACATCACTGAAAATAAGCTCTAAAGGAGCATGAGATACACTATTTGACTTGGGATAAGGTAGTTGGTGACTCTTGGCACATTGACAAGCCTCACAAAGGGACTCACTAATGGGACTATGTGACAACCAGAGATTGCCTTTATTGACTACTTGTTTAACAATGATCGAAGACGGATGCCCTAATCGTTGATGCCACCTTGCCAAAGAGGGCTTGATGATGGAGAAGACTTGACGATGCTTGCGACTAAGTGCTTCAGATGTGATGGGTAGAGACCTCCAATGCATCTACTGTGATGTAGGAGTTTCCTCATTGCCCGATCCTTTATAAAAAAGTAACGAGGGTGAGTTTCAAAGAAGATGTTATTATCATTGGCTAAACGAGACATGGATGCAAGGTTTTTGTCGGCTTGAGGAACATGAAGTACATCTTTTAACACTAGATCATGTTTAAGTGTAGGGGAATTAATAAAAGCTCGACCAATGTGCTGGATATCCATACCTCCACCGCTTGCGGTGTGAATCTGATCACTGCCATGGTACTGTTCACGGAGAGTGAGCTGTTCTAGTTCACTTGTGACATGGTCTGTTGCACCAGAGTCAACGTACCAAACTCCTTCTCCTCCTTGTTCACGCATGGCAGCAGCAACATGGCGAGAGTCAGGCACAAAGTTCTCATCGTACCTGTGCCAACACTCCATGACTTCATGTCCCGCCTTCTTGCAGAGCTGACACCGGGGACGAGCACGTGAGGAAGAGGGACGGCGGCTGTTGTTGGCGTGGAAGCTACCACCCCCTGCCATGTTGTTGTTGTAGCCGCTGCTGCCGCCGGTGTTGTAACCGTCGCTGCTGTTGTTGTTGGTGTAGTCGCTGTTGCCGCGCCCGCGCCCGCCGCCTCGTTGCCCCTGGTGACCGCGCCCACGGCCACGGTCACAAGAGGCAGAGTTGGCGGATGACTGTCGAACGTTGGTTCCGTGGAGGAGACTAAGGCGAGCGTCGAAGCTCAGGAGCTGGCTATACAACTCCTGAACCGTGATGGGCTCCACCCGCGCAGCAAGAGCCGAGACCACAGGGTTGTAGTCCATGTCGAGGCCGGCAAGGATCTTGGACACGATCTCCGGATCGGAGAGCGCGGCGGCGGTGCAAGCTACTTCATCTGTAAGGCTCTTTATTTTACCAAGATATTCAGCCATTGTCATGTTACCTTTTTGAAGATTCGTGAGCTCGATGCGGGTGTTGATTGCTTGAGCTTGGCTTTGGGCAGCAAACATGGCGTGGATAGCATGCCAAACTTCGGCCGGCGTCGAGAGCGTCGCGACCTGTGCCAGGATCTCGCGGGATAGGGATCCCATCAAGAATCCTTGGAGCTGCTGTTGTTGCGCGTACCAGAGGGATCGTGCGAGGTTGAAGACCTGTTCGTCCTTGCCGTCCTTGTTGATGGTGATCGTGGCCGGCGGTGGCGGGCTCTGCGTGTTGAGGTGGTGCTCCATCTGTGCGCCCTTGATCTGGGGCAGCATGATGGCCTTCCAAAGCAGAAAGTTACCCCTCGTGAGCTTCTCTTGGGGTGGCGATCCGAGGAGGGAGGTGTTGGTGGAGGTGGAGGTGGAGGAGGAGGCAAAGGCGGAGGATGATGAGGTGGTGAGCGCACCAACGGTGCTGGCCGTCATGGCAGCGGAGGTGGTGGACATCTCTCTCGGTCGAAGGGGTAGCTAGATGCGATCTTTTCTGATCTGTCGAGGAAGAGGCTCTGTTACCATGTAAAGTTATTGAGGAAGCGTTAAACCCTTTGCTCGGGCCGCATTGTATTATATAGAGAGTATGCCGTGGCTTACAAGGAAGGCATCGATCGAGAGAAGAGATAGATCGATGCCCGGTTGATTACAGAGAGGAATAACAGAAGAAGAGATAAGAGAAGATTACAAGTTTAAACTACTCCTATCTCTTTACAACTTATTCTAACAGGGGCTTCGTGCAAGCACAACCGTGTGGAAGTTACCAGGGGAGGGTGCCGGGGCGAGCACGAAAGAGCGCACTGCGGCGCCGCGGCTGGAAGAGTAGAAGAGAGAAGGGGGTGGTTCTGGCGACGATAAATGTGTGGCTAAGAAGAAAAGGATAAGGAAGCAGGGTGGTGTGGCGGGCCCATGTGGGAGGACGTGGCACACATGCTCGATAAGACGTGCGTGAGGAGCGAGCTGACCGACCCAAGCTTCGGCCGGCCTGCCGTATCCAAACGTCTCCCTTTTGACAATATGGGGCGTGCCAATCTACAGGCAGTGGCTATGTTGTTTTTCTTTTCATGCTATGTCTAGTTTCGGTTACTGTAACATGGATGTTAATGCTTCCTTCCTAAGAATTGGATGTCAGTCATCAGATGAGCTTTGGGAGCTCAAAGTGCTGGTGCTTTCAGTTTAGTGTGAAAAACGCTTTTATATTATGAAACGGAGGGAGTAGCTCGCAAATAGATGTGATCCCCTTTCTGACAAGATGGCGCGTGACAATCTACATAATTCACTTGGCCATGGCTGTGTACACGTCGTTCTTGTTTTCATGCTACTTATAGCCTCGGTTGCCGTAACATCCATGTTGTTGTTCCCTGCCTAACTGAACATGACAATGAAATTTACAGTTCCAGTCAATCGACAATTGTGGCTGTATATCGTTTTCTTCATCTTCTTCTGTATCAGACATGATGATGGACCCAGGTAAGTGAAGTTGGACACACGGTGAAACTGTTGTAACAAGATTGATGATAAACCCAACTCTTCTGCAGCTTGTAATTGGACTCAGCTGTTTTGCCACGGCACTTATGTGTATGAGACATCTTCAGACGTTCCTCAGATGATGCAGCTTCTTCTCTCATGAGGGACTGATGCCTCAAGCACACAATAGATGAACATTGCATATTAAATCTTCCATTTCATAGCCGCCACACCACACAGTATGCCTCTCTGCTCCCGTTGCCACACTGAACGCGCACACTTAATTTGCCAGTAGAAATGCTGCTCCCGTTATTTTCAACATATTTTATGCTAAGATGGTAGACTATGCCGGGCTTGAAAACCTGCCCCGTTATTACTGGGCTATTCTGGGTTGAAATTTTGGCCCCGCTATCTACCAACACACCCCCGACTCCCTTGCCAAGTGTTAAGTTAAAAAAATTATGATATTTTTATGGAAATCAATTGCCTCAAAAGGTAGCACTCCAACGATTACCCTAAGAGTTTCTCTCATACAAAATTATACTGAGAACATTCTCATTATTATACCGAAACCATTGTATGTGCGTCATAGTTTGCAGCCAACAAATGTTCAGAAATTCAAAAAGACTGTAGAAAAGATCACATTGTGTAATGTAACTAGATCGTGTAAAAGTGCATTAACTAGCTAGCTGCATGTATCATTCATTTCAGGCGCATTAACTAGCTGCATGTGCTTGTACTATTATGCAATAATGCAGTGTATTATAGCAGGAGTAGTTACATGTCTGCACTACAAAAGTGAACTTGATTATTGCCATCTCATAGTAATCAATAGTGGTACCAATTTCGGTTGATGGTGCACCAGAGAGCCAAACGATCCTCATCCGTTCATGGGGCTATTAAATTGATATTGTCGATTGCTACATGCCTTCAATGCATAATATTTTAACGACGATATTCATTGGGCTATTTTGGGTTGAAATTTTGCCGTACTATCTTCATTTCTGTCAAGGTAATGATAAAATTCTAAATTAGGATAATATGGTTTTATTCACATTTTCAAGGTTAAAAAATTGGCAATAAGCAAATAATTTGACAATTAAAAGGAGAGCATTTGGATGTCCATATGATAATTATAAAAGTCGGTGATACTACCACGAAACTTATGTGGTTTCTTTTCCTATATATTTAATAAAGCGATAATATTTTACTCGCAAAATAAAAATGAAATAAAGTGATAGTAGATTTTGACCATACATGGATAGTTGGAGTAGCATTACCTGTACTTTATACTTTGATTATATTGTTGATATATGCAGATGTAGTTGGAAAGGATTATATTGTGCTCAATCACCCTTGGTTCCTCTCCTTTTGTGCCGCACCAATGGGAGGTGAGTTTCTACTTTCTTCTTTTCCAGTAAATATGAAGAATTCAAATCCACTATTTATATTATTTTTCTAGATGGCTTTTTCAATTCTTCTGCTATTGTGTTAGCCTATTTCACCTATGGTCTCACATGTAATCTGAACATCTAGAGCATAATCAAATTTGCTATTTTTGCATTTTGATTTTCCTGATATAGTAAGAGCACATGGCAAATATTGAAATACGTAGGTCGATAATATAAAAATATATATCTAAAAACCCTGTCATTATTGGCTTAGATTTGATTACCCACCTGATCATTGTCGTTAATCATTTCAATTGCTACGAGTTTATGACACAAGTATTTTAGATCCTCCTACTTCTTTTACCTTAGAATAATTTTAAAATTGCTTCCAAATTTACAATATGTAATAATAATATCTTCAAAGGAAAATGTATTATTCTATATTTAAATGTAAAATACAGATATAGCAATCGATACAGCATGAATGAAGAAAAAACTTCAGCTACCATGCCTCTTACTCAGTTCTTTTAGGGAGCTTCCTCTTTACTTACCGTGGCTCCTCCGATGCAAGGATACCATGTCAGCCACTATCGCGAGAGCTCGATCCTGCGGCCCGCCCGGCGCCGAAGCAATCTCGGCCTCATCCTGGAGGTGACCGGCCTTTTTCCGCGCCGCGGCACCCTTCTCCCCTTCCATAAGCTCTCTGACCAGCACCGCCACCTCCTCCAGCGCGACAACCGCTCCGTCCTTACCGAGGGGAGGCCTCTCCCACAAAGCCAGGCCCACCCGATCCGATGACAGCATCACTGCGTTCATCCTCTGCTCTGCGTAGAGCGGCCACGCCACCATCGGCACGCCTGCCGCCACGGTCTCCAGCGTGGAGTTCCATCCGCCATGAGACATGAACCCTCCCATGGCGACGTGGTTAAGGATCTCCACCTGTGGCGCCCACAGTGGCACAAGGAGCCCTGTACCGTTCATCCTCTCGACGAACCCGTCCGGCAGATAGCTCAGCGGGTCGGTGTCGGTAGCGGCAGTGCCGAGGTAGGCCGCGCTGCTGTCCTTGTCGTTGGGGTGGTGCACCACCCAGAGGAACCTCTGTCCGCTCGTCTCTAGCCCAGCCGCCAGCTCGGCCGTCTGCGCCGTGGACAGCGTGCCGCCGCTGCCGAAGGACACGTACAAGACCGAGCCATCCGGCTGGTTGTCCAGCCACCGTAAGCAGCTGTGCTTAGCCTCGTTGGAGTCGGGGCACCGCCGCCGGGTGAATGGACCCACAGCATACGCTGGCGGGTAGACGCCCTTGTCAGAAAGCTCTTTGAACGCCAGCAGCGTCTCGTGCTCCAACGCGTCCATGGTGTTGATGATGAAGCCTTCCCCGAGGAGGTAGTTCCGCCCGAGCTCGATCATGAGCCGGTACACGGGGTCGGAGCGGTTCTGGAGGGGCTCGAGGAGATCGGCGCCGTGTAGCGGCACGCACCCGGGGAGCAGCACGGGCTCCGGGAGGTCGCGACACTCGCAGGTGGTGGTCCTGGCGAGCTCCGGGATGTAGAGAAACGATAACAGAGACATGAGGCTAGAGGTGTAGAAGACGTACCCAGGCAGACCCATCTCCTTGCCGACGGCGAGCGCGGCGGGGCAAAGCATGTCGGTCACCAAGGCGGTGATCCCCGCTGGGAGGTCGAGGAGGGAGCGTAGTAGGTCGCGTAGCGCTGGCAGGGCGCGACTGATGACGGTGAGGATGCGAGTCACCAAGTGCGCGTTGGCGGGGAGGTCGTCGATGGACACCTCCGGGAGCGCGGCGACGGAGACGCCCGGCGGGAGGGAGGCGAGCGGCGAGGAGTGGCCGGGCGTGGACAGGCTGGCGTAAGTGACGATTGTGACGGTGAAGCCGTGGTGCACGGCGAGGCGCTTCGCCAGCTCGGAAACCGGGAGGACGTGGCCCAAGCCGGAGCTCGTGAGGATGACGACGTGCGGCGCCGCGGCCATGACCAGCACAACGAGCTAGTTAATACGTGAGACCGTGTTAGCTAGTGTGTCCCCTAGCGTTTATTCGGCAGCAAACACGTACGCATACTGCTTATAAGCAGAAGGATCGTACTACGGAAAATAAAAACGTGAGGTAAATGTTTCCAGTCTGGTGGTTGTACTGTGCCTGTCGGCCCGGCCACCACACGCGGTCTGACACGTACTATGTGCTCCATGCATGGGGCCTATCCTAGCGTCTACAAACCTCTTCACCGCCCATAACTTCTCCGGCAATCCCATTGTCGAGATCTGCAATCTAGGTGTTCATCCCGGCTATACTACACGCACGGACTCTATAATACGGAATCAACGAATTGTAATACTCGCTTCGTTCTTTTTAGTCTGCGTATAACTTTTGTCTCAAGTGAAAGTATCTCTAGTTTGACCAAATTTATAGAAAAAATATTAACATTTATATTGCCAAAGGAATATCTTTATATTCATTATGGAATGTAGCTTCATATTATGTATATTTGATATTGTAGATGTTTATATTTTTTATACAAATTTGGTCAAAGTTTATAATGTTTGACTCGACATAAGTCTTTGATTGGAGATTAATTAGTGAGGCAGGCTTAACCCCATAAAAATCAGGGGGTGGAGAGTAATTAGTGTTGAGATGCTCGTATTGGCGCGATGCTGCAAGCTGAATGAGGTGCACATCCACCCTCTCGTTATATCTACTCAAGACACCATACAACGACAAACACTATTTTGCACGCATTTCCTTCCACTCAATTTTCCGCAAATAAATCATTTGTTTCTTTGCTTAGAACACTACTATCAGTTTTATTATTTCCACATCCTCTCGTGCCACTATCTACTCAGGACTTAATGGATATACACGGATGGTGCACCATCAACCTCTCGTATCTTTAGCTTTCCAAGACTTAATAGAGATAACAACGACGTTTACTGTTCTGCACACGCTTCCTCCACACATTTTTGACACATATCATAAATTGACAAGTGATATAGGTGTGAGTATTTCCAGCACAGTACTATGGATTTCTTCACCATGTTTGTATGGATGTGAAGGCTTGCAAGTCATTAAACCCCAGCCTTAATTAATTTAGTTGCCAGGAGAGATTTTTCTTTTGACGCAATGGAATCTTGTAAAGCATGAACCCACAAAATGAGACATATGAAATATAGAGTGAATACGAACGTATGTCGTGCCTTACAAGGAAATAAGCACATCTTGCCTTGTTTTACATACCAATATTATTATTTACATGACGCCCAACGTTCCAGCAAGCACAAACATATGCCGAATTAAACTTGAAACATCTTCACATGGACTTTCTTTTAAGGCTCATGCATCTATAAAAATGTGAAGCTTTATGGACTCATGGGCAGTGTCCTTCGACAGTACATGCACGCATATATCAGGAGAAGCCAGCTTTTTAAACCTTTTTAGTGAATTAATACCGTATATATTGTCATTCTTT